TTGCGGGATGCCGGGGAGGTTCAGGGAGCGATGGGGAGGCAGCGGCAGGGAAACTTTCCCAGCTCTGGCTGAAGTTCCCACCTAACCCCTCCCCAGGATCCCCCCTCCCCGCCCCGCTCTCCACCTTTAAAATCCAATAAATAAGTTATTTATCCTCGTTTCCTCCCTGCCTGTCCTTTGGGATGCCGGGAGCTCGGCCGGGCTCTTGGCAGCGGGGAACACCCTCCGGGCATCCTGCGGTCCAGCCCTCGGCGTCCGTGTGGGGCAGGAATCCACAGCCCTCCGGGAAAGGGTCTGGCAAGTACCAGGCAGTGGCCTTTTATTATTATAATTATTTATTTTTTTAATATCTAATTTCATTTTCTATTATTAATTTATTTAAAATTATTTATTTGGTTTTATATTTTGCTTTTCAATTTCATTTTGTTGTTTATTTTATTTTTCTTTTTTTTTTTTTAGATTTTATTGTTGGTTTGTTTTTCTTTTTGTTTGTTTGGGGTTTGTTTCAGGGAGCAATGGAGAATCCATCAGGGAAATGGGTTGGATGCATGGAGGGGAGGCAGGGCTGGAGGGAAAGGTCAGGCAGGCAGGGCAGGGCTGCCTGTCCCATGCCAGGCTCTGCCAGAGGAACGCCAAGGTCGGCAGGGAGGCACAGGAGATGCTTGTGGGACCCCAGAAACAAGTTCAAAGGTGGGACCTGGTCTGTGGTTCCTGAGAGCCAGGGTGGGAACAGCTCTCCCAGCACCCCCAGTGCTGCCGGATGTATTTTAATACCCCAACCAGGAGAAGTATATCCATAATTTTCTCTCCAGCCCAGCCCAGTTTCTCCTCCCATTTCTCCCCCACTTCCACCATCCATCAACGAATCAGTTGAAAACTGCAGAGAAGAGGCTGGTGAGTTCAGGAAGGTTTGGGGATTTTATCAGACCAGGGAGGAACCTAAGCTAAAAGACCTTCTTGTTTAGCAACATCGGGCTGGGTTGGGAATCTCCTACTTTTTTGAGGGGATGGAAGGAATTACCTCCTGGAGAGGGGAGGCTGTTCCTGGAGGCGTGGGTTGGGTGCAGAGGGGTCACCTTGGAGTAGGAGAGGATTCTGGGGTCTCTGCAGGGAAAGGGATTCCTCCCCTTGCAGGGAGCTGCTTTGCTGGGAAGGGGAAGCAAACACATCCATGGTGGATGAGGAGGGAGATGGATACATGGATGGATGCAAGGATCGATGGATACATGCATGGATGGATGAATGAACAGATACATGGATGCATGGATGAACAGATGCATGGACACACGGATGGATGAAGAAGTGGGTGCATGCATGGATGGAGGGATGGATGGATGGACGGATGGACGGACGGATGAGGGTGGATGATAAAAAGATGATTGCTTTCCTCAGCCGTGAGTGCCCTTGCAGAAACCAGACCCTGGATCCTGCTTGGAGAAGCTGAGATGCTTTCCCCTTTCTGGCTCTCAGGGCACATCACAGCTTCAAGTCAGGGAGGGCAGAAGGATGGTTGAAACCAGTTATATTCTGATCACCACAGTAAGGTTTGGAGCTCTGGGCTCCACCTCTGCTATGAAACCCACATGGGGACAAACCTGGGGTCCCCAACACTTTAACTCTTGGGGTCTCTCTGTGACCAACACTGCCCAGATTTGCTGCCGGAGGAGCACAACAGTGACCAGATGCTTTGGTGGCAGCTTGGACCAGCTCCAAGCCTTGCTTGTGGCTGGGAGCAGCTTTGAGGAGACCACATTGGGGCTGTCACCTCCCAGACCCATGATGTGGTCACATGTCAGTGACAGTGCTGCTGTTTTTCCAGGGATGAAATCTGGGGCTCAGCAGAACATCCCAGACCATGCATCCACCCTGGCTCAGCTGCATCCCTGCTGAGGGTCTCCAGCCCACCTCCAGCTCCACCTATGGCTGCTGCAGTGCTTGCTGATGGTGGGAGCACACAGGACACCCTGTCAGAGGTCCCCTGTAGTGGCTTTTCCTGCTGTGCCTCCTGTCCCACCAACTTCTCAGCTCATCGCTGTGCCTGGTCCCTCCTGGGAGGCTTTGCAAACTGCTCCAGGAAGGGGGCTCAGGGAGGACAGAGGACAAGAAGGATGGGGTGGCTGTCCCATGGCATCATCCTCTTTGCTGCGTGGTGCTTTGTCACCTTCCAGGCAGGTAAGGACAGCTCTGCCTTTCCCTATGTTTCCCAAATTTCCTTTACTTTAGCCTTGTCTTGCCATGGGTGTCACCAAGAGGGCCCTGAGCATGGGGGGGCAAATCTGGGGAGAGGGGTGGGGAACCTGAAGGAGTTGTGGTGCATGGAAAACCAGTTCTCTCCTAGTTTCCCCAGTGTCCATGAGGGCATGGTGTCCTCCACCCTGCATCACATTGTGATGGGCTTGGTGTCTCTTCAGAGCAGCTTGACACCACCCAGATATTTGGGTGGGGATGGTCTCCTATGGGTCATTCCCCCCTCAGGGGATGCACCTCTGGAACCCCAGATCCACCCTCTGCCAGCTAGAAACAGTGGAGGGATGGACAAAACATGGATTTTGAAGTGCAAACTGGGCATCTTGCTTGACCCTTCACTTGGGACCAGCCCTCCCCAACACCTCTAAGACCCTCAAGGCTGTTCTGCACACGATCCCCAGCCAAAGTACAACAACAAACATTTAAATACCCCAAAATATCCCCTGGTCCAGTGGGGAGAGCTTGCCTGGGACATGGGGCACACTATGAGGCCTTCTCCAGGGCAGAGCCATCCATGCAACTTCCCTTTGGTTGCACATCACTGCACAAAGCCCCCCCTCCCTCCACCCCTTCCTCCCATCCTCGGCCTTCCTCCACTTGCTGGTGGGAATTTATGGAGCTCTGCTATGGGGAAGGATGGCCAAGGACACAAGCCAGTGTCACCTGAGACCAACACCAATGCTTCTGAGGCAGACTGAAGAGAATTGTGCTCATTCCAGTGCTGCCTCCAGCCCAGAAGATGTCCCTGTGCAGGCTGCAGCAGACCCAAGGCCTAGGGTCAGCTTCCACCTTGCAAAGCTGCACCAGTTTGCACCAGGAAGAGCAGCCGGAGGGGACTGGGAGAGGGATCACAGCCACCCAGGAGTGGGATTTTCTTGGCCAGCTTGACCTGGTGCCATTTCCCAGGAGGAGCAGGGGGCGGGGGGGGGGG